GAATCGTAATAATGAAAAACGAGAAGAATGATAATAATGCCAGAAATGAAGTTACCTATTGGAATGATTTTTAAATTAAAAAGTAAGGCACTGTGTGATATGGAATAAATGCTATTTGTTATTAAAGTTTCTAAAAATATAAGCATAAAAAAAAAAAAATACCAATAATCAAACCTCGTTTTTTTTTATAATGTAGAAAAAATGCATTTACAAAGAATTAAGCAATTTTCATATTTGCATTTGATTAATATCATTAATAAAAAACGTGGCCAACCAACATAATTTCATCTGCGTTATTTCTGTAATACGACCAAGCGCAAATGGTCCTACTTTTATCCTTAAAAAAAGATATTTCCTATTTATGGCAAGTTAGATTTTTTGTGCTAAAGTCAGCAGATTACAATATTTAAAATATCTAGGGCCACAATTTCTGGAATGGTCCACCTATCTTATCATACTTATCATATTTATAAATACTCCTCGTACTTGCTTGACCCTATAAACAGTTTAACCAACTACATATGATAAAACGTTAAATTATATAAATTATATAAAATTATACAAATTATAAATTATATTAATATCATTTCCAGTGTTATCTCTTATTTATTACTTGTGCACACTTTATAGCATTTTATAGGGCAACTAATACGTATCGCTAAAATTTACATTCCTTTCAATGTTTAACTCCACCTATCATAATTATTAATTCGTTAATTCGATTAATAATATTCCCCTGTGCCTTTTATTTTGATGTCTGTTTAATTTGCTTCACGTATTTATGTGCTGAGGATTGGTTCCGGAGTTTAAAACAATCAAGGTTCTTTCGATATATGATATTGTTCGGTAGCGGCAAAGTTTATCGCGTCTTCGACTGACGACCGATTAACCTTAATACCACCACCGATTCAATACCGAGTAACCAAAGAAAAAAAACGCCCTTCAGAAAAAACCTTGATCCCCCCTTTTCAATCAACGTTCCAGGCCTTTTAGTCGCCGTCTACTTTTACGAAAAGTTCCTTTGATTTCTTTCCATCTCTCTAAAACTACTTTGTCTCTTGTATATACCCAGTTGCTTATACAAAAAAACACAAACCCATTCTTAAAATTATCTCTTAAAAAAACTTTAACCTAATGTTTGTTGGTCCTAGTTTGGTTGGTAACTTGGGTCGGTCTAATTGGAAAACGATTAGAGATTCCCCTTATTTTTTGCTACAAAAAGGTCCACAACAACAAAATAATAATCCAAAACGAAGTAGCACTACATCAGGTTATCGAATAATTACAAAAGGTTTTCCACATTATCGAGGTAGTTTTTAATATATATATATATACTGTTTGATCTTAATTTATCTGATTTACAAGCATTTCTTTTTTTCTTCTTGATAGTCGCTGACCATAACGACTTTAATCAAATCAAAGAAGCCTTTGATTTATTACATCAAGAAGTTTTATCTGGTGTAGAGGGTAAAAAAACGGTAAAAAAAATATTAAAACAATTAAAGATATGGTGTGCAAATAATAAAAATGTATGTTACAATTAATAACAATTAGTAAAAACTAGTTTTTAATGAAATCGTGTCTCATAATCTTCTTATTATATTATATTATTAAATTATATTATTAAATTATATCTATTCTTTTATATAGATCACACTTGAAGAAGACGTTGATGAATACGCCTCAGATACTTCAATATCTGCTGATGGAAATTCTTCTGGTGAAATGGATGATCATGACAATGACTCTTATCCCTTAATTTCGACTACAAACAACATAAGTAGTAATTCGTCTTCTTCTTCCTCTTCTACAAAATCTAATAACACTATAATCAATGATAAAACAAATGCTTCAACTTCTATGGATCAAGAATCTCTTTGTCATTCCCCTGACCGTTCTGAGTTTCCTGCCAATCAGTCTGATTATCCTGATTCTGATAGTTCTGATGGTGAAGCTGCCATTGATGAAAATGTTGATGCTGAAAATGTCGATGCTGAAACTGTCGACCATTCTGGTGTTAATGTAGATGAATGGTTATCTTTAGGAAGTTCTTTAATGGATTCGTTAATGGGTTGGTTGGAAGTTCCTCCAATTGATGCGTCTAATTCGCTTCCAAAACAACATAATGTTTCTACACATACTTCAAACAATAAAAATCAGACAATATTAGATATTCCATTACAATTCATAGATTTACTAACTTATCCTGATATTGATTCAAAAGCTTCAAAAAAAGCTTCTTTTGCAGGTTTGTTTCCTCTTCTCTTCCTGTAATCTTTTATCATTGTGATTCTTATTTATCTTTATTCTTTTTTATCTTATTTATTAGCGTTACGTGAAATTGCGTTTGTCAAACAGCGCCGTAAAGTTATACTACTATTTACCATTTATTTATTTATAATAAGATTTTGTTCTTTTGATCTGTTTCTTGTTTTATTATTTGCAAGTAATTGTGCTATGTTGTTTTTAATGAAAAATTCGGGTAAAGTTAACGTGACTATGGCTAAAAGGTTAGTATCTTTATTACATTATATTATTTTATTACAATACAGTCAAACCCCTCTATAGTCACCTCCTCTATAGTCACAAAATTGGTATAATTACAAATTTATTTTTACCAATTATTTATAACTATATAGGAATACCTCTATATTAGTCACACCTCTTTACAATCACGCTTTTTTGTATCCCGAAGGTGTGACTATAGAGAGGTTTGACTGTATATTATTTTATTTATTTTATTACAATATATTATTTATTTATTTTATTACAATATATTATTTATTTATTTTATTACAATATATTATTTTATTTATTTTATTTACTATTTATTGCCTTTTTTTAAACCTTTATTAATCTTTTATTAATAAATCTTCTTATAGAGCTGTCAGGCAAAGAATCGGCTGGGCGAAACAATGGGCTGGCTCGCTCTTTCGTAACAGAACAAACGTTACGAATAATAATAATAATAATAATGCTATAAATAGAAAAAATACTTCTGCTGTTGCAAAAAATATTCCTGAAACTTCTGTAATCCGAATGTCAAAACGTTCTTCACAGGATGCTACTGCTCTACAAAGTGGTAGTTTAAGTGACACTACCCATTGTGGTTCCGCAGTCGCAAAAACTACCTCAAAAAGAGGTGTTTTTTTCCGTAAAAGTAACCAAATGGTCCCCTCTTCTCAGACAAAAGACAGTTATTCTCATACTAAAGATGGGTATTCTCATGCAAAAGATGGGTGTTCTCATGCAAAAGATGGGTATTCTCATGCAAAAGATGGATACCCTCATGCAAAAGATGGGCATTCTCATGCAAAAGATGGATACCTTCATGCAAAAGATGGGCATTCTCATGCAAAAGATGGGTATTCTCATACAAAAGATGGGTATTCTCATGCAAAAGATGGGTATCCTCAAACAAAAGATGGGTATTCTCACACTAAAGATGTGTATTCTCACACAAAAGATGTGTATTCTCATACTAAAGATGGGTATTCTCATACAAAAGATGGGTATTCTCACACAAAAGATGGTTATTCTCACACAAAAGATGGATGCTCGGAACGTTTGACTGGTAACATAAATCAAGCTGAATCTATTTCATTAAATGGGTTGCAATTCGATTCTACAAAATCTTCTTTTTCATCTTCAACAAATTCATATTCTTCAATCATATCCACTAGCAACGCAGCAGTGCAGACTTCCATAAGTAATCATGCCATAAAAGTCATCCAGCCAATAAGCTAGCATTATTTTTCTTTTATTTTCATCAACACCCAATGTATTTTGATCAATCGAATAATGTAATTTTTTTTTTCTAGAAATGATTTAATTTAAAAATTATTATTAATTGGGAGAAATTTATTTCTTTAAATAATCAGGATTTCTTTAAATTTGTACAGAATAGATAATTTTTATACAATTCATCTTTTTTTTTTTTTTTTTTTTTGTATACATTAATATTTTGAACCAAATATTTTTTAAACACTCAAGATCTCAAAAATTAAAAATTGCTCTACAATTTACTTGTTACGTATTTTGAAATATTATTTACATGGGTTTTGCATTGGTAGTGTTCAAATCGATTAGTTGGCAATTAATAACAATTAATAATCACAAGTTTTTTTAAATAAATTAATATTTACAAGTTTCAATAAATTTGGCATTAAAAATTATCACAATTATCACAAATTATCACAAATTGTTTATTGTACCCACATTCAATGAATTTTCGATTTTCTACATATTGCTATATAATCAGATTATATATTTGGATACGTACAAAATTTTTCATTCAATTAGTTAACTATCAACTATATACGTATTATACGTAGTTACTAGGAATTGGAACCGTTTAACCATTTAAAAATTGGTCCATAATTCCGGGCAGAATTATGTTGGTCGTGGGCCGGAATTATCTTAATGCCGGCCAAATTAAACGGCTAAAGGGTTAAACGATTACCGTATTACCTCGAAATAACGCCCCGGGGTGTAGGTTAAAATTTTGGCCTGAATTAAGCTTAATTTAGACCGAATTAAGCTTAATTCTGGTCAGAATTTTAACCTACACCCCGGGGCGTTATTTCACGGTAAACGATTAAGAAAAATTTTAGGCGGTTCCTATTCCTAATAGTTACGTAGGTTATTAATTATGAATTATATATATATGGAGTTGAGTCAGTAAAAATCAAGCAAATTTTTTTCTAAATAAATTTTTTATTTTTTATTTTTTATTTTTTGAATGTTAATGTTGAGACCTAAATAAATTTTTTTAAAACTTCAAATAACAATAACTCAACAAAAATTTTATTAAATTTGATCAAGTTTTTGTTAAGCTATTAATGTTTAAATTTCTAAAAAAAAATTAATAAAAACAATTTATTTGATTTTTACTAACTTATTTTCAAATATATATAGACAAAAAGACAATAAAGACCCATCTCTATGGTGACACTACATATAACAGCCAATTATATTTAGGGTTTAAAATTTTTCTTTTATATTTTTTTATTATAAAAGTTCTAAAATTTGTAAAAAATTTTTATTGGGTAATAATAAGCAATATATTATATAGTTATATACTTAATTTTAATTAACTATTCATATAGAGTTACCATAGTGACCTGTTGCTATAAACTAATGCTTTAGCATTAAGGTTAGAGTCAGATTAGAACCTGTATAGCTTAGAGTTAAAATATTCTTATAGATAAAATTGTCCTTTGTCATTTTTTTCTTAACTTATCAAGATAAGTTTAAACATTCATTTTTTATATTTTTTATATTTTTTTATGTAATAAAAAATCTCGTAATAGCATCTGGCTTTAACAAATTCAGTGTTGTTTAAGGATATTATTTTAAAATTATATATAAATTTAATAACAAAAATTTTTTATATTTAATTTATAAAAAATTTTATTAAGTAAACTAATTTTAACTATTATATATAAATTAATTTTAACTATTATATAAGTTTGTAAAATAGGTTTTTTAATTTTAATAATAGTAAATTCATTAAAATTAGTTAAAAATAAGATATAAAATTTTATATATTATTATTTTTTTTTGTTAACTAGCCCCTTTGAGGCTAAGATTTTTTATTCAAGTATTGAATGAAGAGGTTCATAACAAAGTCTTCTATTATATTAGAGAGTACAACTAGCCATATATGCACTTTTGGTTGTCTATTTAAGTAGTTTGCATATCAGTATTATACTGTAAAAACTATTCTATTTGTTATATCTATAACTCAACTAGAGAATTATTTATTTAAACTTTCTATAATACAATCTACTTGTATTATCAGTACATCTCTGTTACATTTGTCAGTTAAGAAGTTTCAGATGCTTTTTTATTCCCTTAGAACTATTTATCTTTGAGGCATCATTGTTAGAGCTTTCTATATCTACAATCTGGCTAACCTAAACTTCAGTAACTTATGCCAAGTCTAAGGACAAATACTTGCAAGCTGAAGTTACTATCATTACTTACTTCTGCGCTTGTAGAGTTTATCCAAACCCTAAAACTATTTACTTTTTCCAGTTTCTTCAAACTTTCAATCTAGATAGCTCAGAAGGGTGATTTCTTCCTCTAGTTGCTTAGTAGCCTGGATGGTGTAATATTTTTGCCAAACATCTTAGTCTCATTTAGTTTTTCAGTTTCTAGTTAATAATCTTTTATATAGACCATTATTATCTATTTCTCTACTTAGAACTTGTTAAATAGGCTTTATATATCTTAGCCCTTGGATTTACCTAGTTGCTTCACTTGAGTTTTGTGTAACTCATATATTATACTTATATCCTACAGCACAAGCTGGTATAACCAAAGCTACAGATCTGTTAATTTATCAAATTATATACAGTTGCTATAACACATTCTGTAAAATTTGAATTTCATTGTCAATAGGATTCAAACTCTTGTCTTGCCACTTGGAGGCGTAACAACTTACCAACTTCACTAAGTTAACACCCATGTTTTATATATTATATAGATTTATAAATTAATCAATTAAAATTAATAATTTTTGTAATTTAAAAAATCTTGGGTTTATACAGAAAATATATATACTGTATATAAATATATTTAGAGAATTGATATTTTTACATCCTTTTTTGATATTGCCACATCCCTGCTAACTTTAAACCCTAACCGAACCCTAATAATTTATAATAATTTTATTAACAGTGGTGTAGCAATATTAAAAAAGAGTATGAAAATATCAATTTTAAATATTTATTTTATTTTATTATAGATTTTTATCTTTTTGTACAAATACGGTTTGCATATTCTATAAAATCTGATATAATATGCAATTAAAAACAAACTATCAATGCTTATAAGATCTGATATAATGTGTAATTAAAAACAAACTATTAATGTATTAATTGGTAATTCGCCAAATAACTAGAGAGGATCTACAAATTTTTATAAGTAAATTTTACTATTGCTCCAAATATAAAACACTTCAATCTAAAATTTTTTTTTTACCAAATAAATTACTCTTGGACTTCTAATAAAAGTTGTAGAGCTAAGGGTGTGGTGACTTAGTGAAGTTGGTAAGTTATTACACTTCCAAGTAGCAGAACAAGAGTTTGAATCTCACTGGTAATAAAATTCAAATTTTACAGAATGTGTTATAGCAGACTGTGTATAATCTGATGGATCATCAAATCTGTAGCTTTGATCATACTAGCTTGTACTGGGAGCCTATAAAATATTTAGTATAATATATAGTGGTAAGTTAGTAAAAATAAGACTAATTTATTAAATAAATTTGTTCTATTTCTATTAACTCACCCCCATATGAGTTATACAAAAACTGAGTAAAGTAGCTAAATAAATCTAAGAGCTGAAACACATAGAAACCTGCTTGGCAAGCCCCAAGTAAAAAGGTAGTGCAGACTTTAGATAGTGCTACATAAAGGATTATTAACCAAAGAACTGGAAAACCAAACAGAACTGAGGTGTTTAGCAAAATACTATACTAACCAGGCCATTAGTAAAAATCAGAGGAAGGGTTCACCTTTCTGGACTATTTGAATTAGGTGTTTAGGGAATCAGAGAAACAGTAGATAGTCTGTATAGTGGGTGTTGGGGTTTGGGTAAACTTTACAAGGGCAGAAGTAAGTAATGGTAGTAGCTTTGGCTCACAAATATTTGTTTTTAAACTTAACATAAGTTACCGAAGTCTAGATTAGCCAGATTGTAAGTATAGAAAGCTCTAGCAACGATGTCTTGAAGATAAATTAGTCTTAAAGATATAGGAAAGCATCTAAGACTTCTTAACTAACAAATGTAATAGAGATATATTAGTGACACAAGTAGGTTGTATTACAGAGAGTTTAAATAGATAATCTCCTAGTTATATTATAGATATAGCAGCTAGTATAGAATCTATAGTATATAGTTATCTATATACAGATTACTTAAATAGGCAACTAAAAGTTGCACATGTAACTAGTTGTATCTTCTAATATAATAGGAAGTTCTACTATGAGCCTCTCCACCCATAACTTAAATAAAAACCTTAGTCCCAAAGAGGCTAGTTAATACAAAAAAAAAAGTTGTAGAGCTCATCAAGAAGCATCTAATGGTAGTAAGAATGTTAAAATCAGCCTGGTAGTTCTTGAAAAATCTTTAAAAAATAGTTTGCTAACATATAAAATTTCTTTAAAAAAAATTAAGGATGTTCTATAGAATAGGTAGGCAATATAAGAAATAAGCTTCGCTAATAATTAGTAATCATTAATTTTTTAATATTGGAGTTGTGAAGTTGGCAGAGTTTATCTACCTATTTTATAGAACATCCAAAATTGATTTTTTTTAAAGAAATTTTATATGTTAGTATAATATTTTTTAAAGATTTTTCAAGAATCATAAGCTGATTTTAATATTTTTATTATAATTAGATGTATCTTAATAAGCTCTACAGCTTTTATTAGAAGTCTTAAAGTAATTTACTTAGTAAGAAAAAAGTTTTAGATAAAAGCACTCTATATTCAGATCTATAGTAAAATTTACTTATAAAAATTTGCAGATCTTCTCTAGTTGACTAGTGAATTACTAATTAATTTAGGATAAGAGTTAGTATTAATTTTGAGTTAAATTAAATTGTAAATAAAAATTAATTATATCTAAAATTTTGCAAAGAATTTTTTTTATTAGAATGCAAAAGGTAGTTTTATAAGCAAAATTATAAAATATCACTATTTTTTTAATTTCATATTATATCAGATCTTATCCTATAT